GGGGCACGTGCAGCTACCACACGGTACGGTAGCTACGGTAGCTGGGTGCTCAAGAAGGTCATCCAGTGGTGACAGGTTATGCACTGTGAAGACCGTGCCACTGTCAGAGGAAAAATAACTAACCTGACCACATCAGATTGCTGCCATCTCACAGCCGACTACAAAATTTTACTCCTTGTCTATAAAGCTTTAAATGGCCTCGCTCCACGGTACCTCTCTGACCTGAACCTATCAGGACTTCTGGTACAAGCCTTCTAATCAGTCTGAGGGTTAAAACTAAAGCTGGCGGAGCAGCCTTCAGCTTCTGGTGTCTTTTTACCAGATTGGATTAGATCTGTTCCAACATTAGCAGCAGACTGAAACTTTCCTGTTTTCCTATGCATTTGATTAGTGTACTTGGTTGTCTGCATATGTCTGTGTATTTTGTTTTAATGTGTTTCACAATAAATCTTCCTAGGAAATGAAATATGCTATATAAATACTGTACAAGTAACACTTGCTAATTATAGCTCACAAGGCTGTGAAAAGTACCTGTCAGGTGCTGCTTGTTCTTATAAGCTTTAATTTAGACAACGTAAAAAAAAACATCTGATTAACATCTGTTAAGAGGTTTGACATCTAAAACAAGCTGATCGCTGTTTGGCATTTATTTTTGTAGATAATGAAACACAGCTCTGCTCTGTACCCCTCAATGTGACAGCTCTACATCTGTAATGAAATGCATTGTCCCTCTTGCGTGAGGCGGAGAGCTGTAGGAACCAGATGGTTTCTATTTGTCCTGTCTGCCTGATCTGGGGTGAGCGCTGGGAACACTGCTTCTGGGAACCAGCACTCTTCATCTCTGGGCCAGGCAGGGGATTATTTATGCCCCCCGCCCTCTTGTAAAGCTCTCTTTAAAAATTCACACTTAGGACTTGCATGCCAAGTGGAAGCACAGAGATGTGATGAAGTCCTTCCCTACAAAGCTGTGCTAAGTTCAATATATGTTGAATCTGAAAAGAATTCTTTATATTCCATGCATTGAAGGACAATACTTAGTAAATCTGTACCATATCTTGCCATAAAAATGTCACGTATCTCAACTAGCTTTACCTGGTATAAAACTACTCCGATATGAAAAAAAAAAGAATATTAAAAAACGAACTGTTCTACATAGGAATAATGAATTGACAAAATCAGTTTGCCAACCAAAATGACAAGCACATACACTGTACCATTTTTAACATGACTATTTGTAACACCCTTCTTTGCAGCTGACTCAATATTGAAAAGAGAGAAGCGCCTGCGGACGAGGAGGGTACATTTTGAGAATGTGACAGTGTACTACTTCAGTCGGCGGCAGGGTTTTACCAGTGTACCCAGCCAGGGAGGCAGCACGCTGGGCATGTCCAACAGGCACAGCTGGGTCAGGCAGTACTCCCTGGGTGAATTTGCCGTGGAGCAGGAGAGGATCCATAGAGACATGCTGAGAGACCATCTGAAGGAGGAGAAACTCAACTCAATCAAACTCAAGGTAAATCTTTTGCAGTCTGTATTTAAAAAAATGTAAACCTCTTGGTTCAAAAGCTTTTTATAAGCATCATTCAACAGATTTCTGTATCAAATATATAAGAAATTAGAAAGACTTAAATTAATTTTTTCAAGAACCTCTTTGGCTTCAGTCTCTTTGTTCCCATGCTGGTATTAAAAAAAAGGTGCTTGGACGAATTCTTTCTCATTTTCAGCTGACGAAGAATGGCACAGTGGAGTCTGAAGAGGCCAGTACGCTCACGGCGGAGGACATTTCTGACGATGACATTGATCTGGACAACACAGAGGTAGACGAGTACTTCTTCCTGCAGCCTCTTACCACTAAAAAGCGTCGAGCACTGCTGCGCACCTCTGGGGTAAAGAAGATTGACGTGGAAGAGAAGCATGAATTGCGAGCCATCCGGATGTCTAGAGAGGACTGTGGCTGTGACTGCAGAGTCTTCTGTGACCCAGAGACCTGTGCCTGCAGTATAGCAGGGATCAAGTGCCAGGTAAATCCCATGACATGCAGATTTTCAGTCAATGTTCTGTTTTCTTACTCGTAATCAGAAAGCATTAGCTGTACGTTTAAAGAGAATGTGTGGGGATCAATGACTTTTAGATTTTTTTTAATGATTTCATACCCATAGTCTTCTTCCCATGATATAGATCTGCTTAAACTAAAACAATAAGACAGTAAATGTTATGTTTTCCTTAGGTGGACCGTATGTCATTTCCATGTGGCTGCACAAAAGAGGGCTGTAGCAATTCAGCGGGGAGAGTGGAGTTTAATCCCATTCGCGTTCGGACCCATTTCTTGCACACTATAATGAAGCTGGAACTGGAGAAGAGTCGTGAGCAGCAGCAGGCGTCCCCCACCAACGGTTACCGGAGTGAAACTAATGACCTGGGGAGCGGAAACCCTTTGGTTCAGTCCCAGCACAGGTTGGAGTACTCTCTGTCCGATGCTGCTCCACAGACAACCAGCATGCACATGCAGCCTGGCGATGAGATGGAGGAGCCGCTAGATGATGAAGAGGAAGAAGAGGATGAAGAAGATGATGAGGAAGAAGAGGAGGAGGAAAATGAAGACGATGAAGAGGATAGTAGCAGTGTTTGCAGTGGGCTGTCTGACTCCAGCACCCAGAGCCTGGCGAATAGCGACTCTGAAGATGAAGAGGAGGATGATGAGGACAATGAGAAGTCTGAGAACTTTGAGGACGACACGTCAACTTCATCAGTGTCTCATACTGACGTGGTCCCCTTGTCCTCTGTGCTGTGTTACAGTGACGGCTCCGTGATGCACGATAACCACATGAATGGAAACACTTATTTAATGAGCTCTTCCTCAGCTGAGTACTATCAGCTCGGGAGCTCCAGCGCCGTGTCCAATGGCCAAACCTGCCAACCAGGCGAACCCTATGGGGAAGCCTTCCAAGATCCAGTCAACACGACAAATGGCACCATAGTCCAAGGACCATTCAACATGACTGCTGAGCAGTACGCAGACTACTCTAATCAGGCTGAGGAACAGTACGCACCTAATCAGCATTTCCCTCTGGCCAACAGTGCCCCAGCTGCACCTTTGACCTGCTACGCACCTGATCAGGAGAAGACGGCATTGTCCAAAGCGGCGTTTGTGGAACAGCCTGACAACCAGAACCAGACACAGTTTCAAAACTACCTGAACAATAACTCTAACTCCCAGGGTTCCTACAGCAGTCACAGCAAGTGTATGACAGCAGAGCAGCCGCATAAAGAGTCCAGCGTTAATGGACATTCTGACCTGACCTTACTAGCGAACACTACTAAGAACCTCGCTTTACCAGACCATTGCCCTGAGGTCGCGGCCATTTAGTGGGCCTCACCTTCTTAAGTGTTTTTTCATTATTGCTTCTTTACTCGAGCCTGACTGAGTGGTATTTTAGAGGAACATAACCATTGCCTTTTCGCATCATCTGACCTTACATTTCAAAGCGATTTACAGCACTGCAGCACATTTTCATCTGTAACTATAAGCCATAGTTTCATGACAGAGGTGGTTTTGAGGAATTATTCACTTCTGAAGTTTCCCCACTACAGTGTGCTTAACTGCAGAATCAAAAACACAACACATCGGTTATGTCATGCTGTGCAATGTATCTTGTAATTTCAGATGTAAAGTTCTAGTTTTAAGCAGATATTGTACTGTAGATGGAACTTTTCTATGTCTGCTGTATGTGTCAAATGTGCGAAAAAGGTTTGTCAGTTTATCATTTCTGAATTATGTGTATACTTATATATTGTAAAAGTTTTGATAATACGCATGCTGTGACATTTAGGGGGAAAACTTGCCATGGTTTTATATAACATTGTGTTGTATACATAATTTATCTTCTCTTCTTTTACTGACAGTTATATGCTTTTCTATGGTTTTGAAAAGCATGAAAAAGCCTGAATTCTTGTTTGGATATTTCGGAATACAGTATCAATAGCATAATGTCCGACATGTCAAAACAGATTCGCAGCCTTTTGCACTTATGTGTGGGGGCCCAGTGGCATGCAGGTGGTTTTAACTGATAAATACTTGAACAGTGGATAAATGTGGCCCCTCGAGTGTTTTCTTCCTCCCACTGTTCACTCGTAGAATGATGTGATTTGCAGGTGTCACTACAAGTGCAGATTTATTCTTTGAAGCATTTCATTGATGCAGGGATATCAATTAAAGAGCACTTTGACATATCTTCAACAGTATGAGAAGCTTGTAGACAAGAGAACATTATCATTAAATTAGCATTATAGGCTTCATTTGAAAAGCAGCAGTAACTGGTTATTCTGCTTTCGATCGCCGTATAAGCTACATTGCGCTGTCTAATAATAAAGATGTTTATGTCGATCCGATAACGATGTCGATTTGATGTTAAGTGCAATAGTTTGAGGATTTTTAAGAGGCTTTCTCCTTAGAGAAAATCCTCAGTAAAGTGGAAGGAGATTGCTTTTAATTGATGATACTTAGTATTGTACTTAAAGCACCATTGATTTTATTAAAAATAAGACCATTGAACAAATGTTCAAGGTTGACAATCAAAGCGTATTATCAAACGATTCATATCAGTGATCAACAGTATGACTCATGAGTTCCATGAGCCACTGAAAATGACTTAACAGCCAGATATGAAAAAAAAAAAACTGCTTACGCAATATCTGTAAATAACCTTATAAATGGTCTTATACTTGTATAGCGCCTTTCTATGCTTTTACAGCACACTCAAAGCGCTTTCACATTATTCGGCCATTCACCCATTCGCACTCCCAAGCACTCACGCATTCACACACCGGTGACATCTTATAACACATCTTCATGAAATCACTGACAAAAGGTAATTGAAGTCACTGCTCGACTGATGACAATTTAGCGGATAATTGTACTGTAATATGTTGCTGAGGTTTTCTCTTTACCTCGAGTGCTTTGCTCCTTTATGAGTACAGATATTTGTGCCTCTTCTAAGCTTGCAAATATCTGCCCATTCTTTATAATCACAAAGGTCAGCACTGGCCTTCTGGTGGTTGTGTGAGACTACTGAGTAGCTGGGACCACTCATGCCACTTTGGTAGTATACAAGACGAATTGTGCCAAAGCATACAGTGTGAGAAGGCTAATGCACCCAGTTAAGAATCCTGTGTTTGATTTTATTTTCCAGTATTTATTATGAATGATATATTGAAATGTGTATTTATTGTGGTTTAATGAAAGTCTGTATTGAGTAAATTGCTTCACTATCTTAAAAATAATTGTCTTTTGTTTCCTGCTGGTTGTGAGATGTACAGCTTCATGTGCCTGATTTATATTATTTTATTTCATATTCTGTGAAATGCATATGTTTTGCACAAGCTGGCCACATCCTTTTGAATGTTTTGTTCCCCCACTGTAGATAGAACCCCCGTCATTTTTAGTTTTTATTTTTACCATGATTTTGAAATAAATTTAATTAAAATGACTCTTTTGATCTTAACTGCTTATGACGTGGTATTTTTGTATTTACGCACACACGGTGTCACTACATTGACGTTACTGATGAATCACCTTTTGTGATTTTAGGGATTTCTTAATACAAAGTGCCCCCTGCAGACCGCAGGGAGAAACGACGCCATGTGGCTCAAGTACTATGCAACTGGATTTACTGAGCTCAAAACAACACGTCTTATTACCAAGGCGTTCTGACGCCGCCTGATTCCATTTTAGGAAAACACTCAATTTGGATCTGTATCTTACTCAGTCACAAACAAAGTATTTTTTTTTTATATTCCACAGCCATTGAAACACGAGTGTCTGCACCAGAAATTCATTTGTGAACTTCTGTTACATATAGAGGGAGAGTTTCAGGAACTTGATCATCAGCAAATAGAGGACCTTGGGTGCAATCATTCTACATTTCCCTTTTACAAACACCAACATATTTTATATGGTGGATACAGGTCAGTTGGTCCCGTGAGGGCCAGCGCACAAAAACACACACACGTTAATAAAACACTGACTGTAAGCAGTGGTGGAAGAAGTACTCAAGTTTTTTACTTAAGTAAAAGTAACAATACAACAGTGTAAAAACTGCATTCAAAATATTACTTAAGTAAAAGTACAAATGTATTCGCATCAAAACATACTTCAAGTACTAAAAGTAAAAGCACTCATTATGCAGCATGGCACATTTCACATTCCTGTGACTCCTGCATGGCCCAGAAGGGGCCAACCTGATGGTCACCTGCTCCACTGGAGCAGTACCAGGTGGGGGCTCCCAGATAGTTTTAATTGGCTTTTATGTATTTAATTTGAAATACTACTGGGTAGCTTGTGAATTTTCCACCACAGATCAATGAGGTCTCATAATTCTACTGTATTTTTGTAATCATGAAGTTCTGTATAGTAATTAAGTCTTAAAATAAATGTCATGGAGTAAAAATTGCAATAATTTCCTCTAAAATGTAGTGAAGTCAATGTATGAAGTAAAAAAAAAATGAAACTATTCAATGAAGTAGATATGTCAAAATTGTACTTAAGTACAGTTCTTGAGAAAATGTACTTAGTTACTTCTCAACACTGACTGTATGGCCACTAAAACACATTTCTGCAGTAATGAGAACTTGAAGTTGTGTTTTAACTAACTGTAATTCATGTTTAAGGATCAACTCACTTAACCAGCCCAAATTGACATTCAAATGATCGTTCTTCTCCCTTCATATCACAAGTGTTTTCTGGGCTCAAAATGTTCGACTACACAAATTACCACAGAAAACAAGGTGTCCAACCATGAGCTGAAGACACCTTTGCTCACAACACTGTCAAACCAGATATTACATATTAGCAGAGAATAGCTACAAGTCTACCATACCACCACCATCCCTCAACCACCCAGATTAAAATCACAACAAAGGTACTGGATGGTACCAAATACAGGGATTTGTATTCTAAAAAGAAAAAGAAAAATTCACTTCCTTTGGTGCCTAAATATTTGGGATTTTTGTGTGACCAACTTGAACCTCTAGTTGTAATATACAATATCTTTTTTGTTTTAGGTTCAGGTAATACGCCTCATTGGAAAATATTCTATGTTGACGTTAAATACCTAATACTGTTAATGTGTGTTGGTTGTGAAGCAGTGAAAACATCTCACAGAAAAAAAAAGGCACATCTGCATTGAGCCAGGAATCTCAGTTCACAGTCTGATGGGGAGCATTGTGTCAATGCTTCCTTCCAGCAGTGGCACACAGTATTTCTCCCAAAGCCTGTTCTTCTTTATATAAAATAAATTAAAGCACAATATCAATCTAAAAGAACCTGTGCATAAACTGCATACAGCAGAATAAACCCATGGTCCTAGTATGCCTCCACATAGTAGTTTGCACCCTCAGATGAAGGACCAGAGCTGGTATCTGTCTGAGGGGTCGCAGAGGGACAGAGTGGGACGTTCATGACGGCCAGTTAGACACAAGTTCAGTCCTGGGATGTAGAATAATTGGTTCTATACGAAGAGAATACAAAGCGATTACTTTCCTAAAAAGAAATGACCTAGACATATGAAATAACTAATTAGTACGCAAAAGGTAAAAGGCCAAACTCACCTCCTTCAGTGCCCATTTTTGCTGTGCTCCTACAAATGTGTTCCCACCTTTATACTGGCAGTCTTCCAGCTTCACGGTCCCCTCTTTCCCGTGCAAACACAGCTCCTTCTGAATGCTGTGTCTAATCTCATGACGTGTGGAGTACTCGAAATACTATAGCACATAAAAAGTATACCATCAACCACTGCAATCAAAACAAATCCTTTTTTAAAATCTGTGATAGAAGGTACATTTCTTTAACTGACCTGATTTCCTCCAAGTCCATGACACTGGTACATGATCAGTTCTTTCCCACCCTGGTTGTTCTCTCCAGCATCCAGACATGTGTCTGTAGCCACATTTTTCACCTACAGAGAAAGATGAGGAAAGGGGAAAGCGGTGAGAGGAAACACAATTACAAACTGACATCCAGTGCCAGCTGTTCAAACAACTTAAGCCTCTGGAGTGTTTTCAGTGGTGTCAGATTGGAACTGCTCAGTACCCTCTGGAGATCCCAAGTGGAAACCCACAGTTGCTAGACAGCCCTGAGGTTTGGAAAGGGCTTGGGGTGTGCGATCTTACCGAGCCAAAGCGAAGCGGTTTGAAATCTGGCTGGAAGGCTTCTGGGTAAACGTTCTTCAAATACCAGGAGAAACTCTTGCACTGCAGCCGTGCACGGAGGTCTAAGCGTTTGGAGACATCTCCAAAGAGCCTCTGTTAAAATAATGACAGACAGACAGACAGTAAAGCAGCTCCTTTATGTTGTTTATTAACTCATACTGCAGGCACACCGGATACCATCGGGGCTATTTTTAAATAACCAAATTTTGCCTTGACATGATTCCTGACTAACACTGTCAGGTATAGTATAAGGTCAGATAGGAAATGCTGTGAAGCAGTTTCTGAATAAATCTATGTCCACTTTGGAAGAGATCCATGCATTTTTCTCCTTAAATCTTTCTATAAAAGTAGGCCATTCACACTGAAATGCAACAATTACAGTGCCCAACCTATGTACTGTATATAAGCACATGAAATCCACATGAGTCTACAGCCATGTTAGCAGCTCTCTGAAACTGCACTTAAGCACAGTGGTGCCCTGAGATGAATGCTAACATCAGCGTGCTCACACTGCTGATACTTATCACATAGAGCAGAACATTCAAACCTTTGCTTTGCATGTTAACACTTAGTAATTAGCACTGAAAACAAAGCAGAGCTGAGAAAGTCAAATTTTGACCTCATAAAGGGATTAGAGGGAACATTAATGGATCAGCAAGGTTATTTCAATTCATCCAGAGGTGAACATCTGTCTCCAACAAATCTTTTGGCAATCCATAAATACTTAACTCAAAAGCTAAAATGCCAACCTTATAGTAATTTCATTAGGATTAATCCTCTGGGGACCATGTACCAATTTCATGACAATGGATGGGAAGAGGTTTCAGTGTGGACCAAAGTGGTGGACCCACTGACCAACTAACATTTCTACTCACTGAGCCATAATCTGAACAGTTATCCACTTCCAGAAGTAAAACCATGACAAAAACAAATACACATCACCTATAAGAAAATAAGAAACCGCTTTTGATTTTTTTTTGTAATTGTCACATTGCTTTATCTACTTATCTGTCAGTGACTGTTCCAATGGTCTAATAACTCCTTTTTCAAACCAATTAACTACAGACAAGTATTCTTCTTTTTAAAGTGAAGCATATCTGCACATTTGAAAGGATGTGTAGGCACGTCGTGCTCTTGAATAACAAAGAGTACTTGCTATAATGACGACGATACTGCTCACTCTAGTGCTCTCTGGTTGCTACTACAGTAGAGTCCTTGAAGCTGTTTAACATGGCTGTGTCTGTGTGAAGCCGGCAGGAGCAGGCTGACCCCCTCTGTGAAGTAAAACCCTGGGGGAACTGTTTATAGCACCTATGGGACCGCATGTTGGGAAATGCTGAGAGTGCGTGTTATTTACCAGAGCTGGCTTCCTTCAGGCCCTTTTTACTGCTGGTGAACAGCTTTCAGCCCCAAATAGCTGATCTCTTTCTCTTTATTTTGAAGAATGTGTTTTGCTTGTACAGAATACATGTTTTAAGATTTACAACAGTGAAACACTACAGTTGTCCTGGTAACTGGAATTCTCTGTAAGTCATGATCAGATTTGACGCTGGTTGTATGTTATTCACAGTTCAGTGTCTCAGCAGTGAAGGACAGTGACTGCTCTTAAAACCACTTAAATATGACCATGCAAAATAGAAGTGCAAGATAATGCTGCAGAATAATTTCATGCCAATTTCCAAAGTCAGTGAATTCAGTATTTGACTGGATCGCAGGACAGACATGTTTCAGAGGCACAGTAGAAGTCGTACATACATCTCTTGCAATCTGTCCAGCTTCTGAGTTACGACGGTAGAAGATCTCCTTGTAGTCGTCCATCCAGACCTCAGCCAGTCGTACCTGGTTGCGAGCAATCACTTGCGTTCCCTTAGGGAAGGTGTGGGGGCTCTTAGTGCGGAAAACGTGACCAACAACAGAGCAAGGGATGATCTCCAGCTGTCCACCACACTGCCACACCTGGAGGTTAATGAGAGATAGCCCATGAAATGCACAATGACATGCAGCTAGACAAGTTTGGATACCAAAATGATTCATGGGATAAAAAGGTTAAAGCAAATATAAAGACTGCTGCGCATTCACAATGACAGCTTAGTGATGACTTACCCTAAATGACATTTCAATATTCTCACCACCCCAGATCTCCATTTCTTCATCATAGCTTCCAATATGGTAGAAATATTCTTTTGAGATGGAGAAGAGACCACCAGCAAATGTGGGAGTCCTGAGGAAAAATTTCATTAGAGGTCTTTAATTACTTCCAACATTTAAAGTTGATATTCTAAATTCATGCACCATGTTTCATACTTGATAGGATGGGTCTCATCCTTCCTCCTTTGTCTCTCATGATCTGGGAGACCCTCCCAGCCAAAAGCCAGGCTCCAGTCAAAGTTGCCCCGGCTGTGTTTCTGCCCATATGGGGAGGGTTTTATAAACTCAAAAGTATTGAAATCAATGGAGGTTATATCAGGACTGACTACTGCAGTGTAGTTTTCTGCTATCCTGCCTAGCAGAGGCTCCAGCCATCCATGGAAGCATTCACCTGTTAACATGCACACGCACACACACACACACACACACACACACACATCACGTTATTAGCAATAACAGCGAAATGGCTAATCTACAATACGTTAACACATGGTGGCCACGCCTGTGCTTTCAAGATACACATTATATCTCTGAGCTGTGGGTGTGTAAGCAAAGGTGTGGCTACATGGTTTTAATGTGTGAGTAAATGTCAGCTTTGTTGACTCACAGTGTGCATCCAGAAAGGTGAGCGTATCACCTGTGGCCACGGAGGCACCCAGCAGCCGAGCTGTGATGAGCCCTTTCCTTTCTCGCTGGCGTACAACTTGCACAATGCTAAGCTGCTTCAAATACTCATCCAGCTTGTCCTTCAGATCATCTGAAAGTGTGGGATATTTGTTAGATACACAGGCTGAAAAGAAGAAACGTTTGCTGAAATTATATATCACTGAATGCTGAGCACAGTCTAATATAAACAGCTTTATAAAAGCTCGGACTCAAACAAAAAGAACAAAGTTGTCTTCCTAACATCTGTCATGAGAACTGAGTTAGGAATGTCAGATGGACAGCATTCCCTGAAACCTCTCTCCACTCCAGCATTTTGTTTCCTTCCTAAAGTGGACCTGGTTAACTCTCACTCATTTTTAAGCACAACCCCTGCTAATTCCTCTTAGGAAAGTATTCACTAGCAGCCCCTTGCTTCCTGTGGTAACTTGCTTCATGGGCCACAGAAGAAAAAGGGAGATCCTCTCTGCATGTTTCATGGCACACTAAAGAGCTGCTCACACAACATGCAGCATGACATTGAACCCAAAAGAAAGCAGGCCACTCCATCAAGGCCCTGTTGAGTTTTACCATACACGCTGGCGTCATCCACCAGGATGATCTCCTTGAGGAGAATGGCGGGGGAGGTGTGGAGGACACTGTACACTGTCCTTAGCAGAGTGCTCCAAGCTTCATTGTGGAACACAATTATCACACTGGTGGTTGGCAACGAGGGGCACCGTTTGAAGGTTTGCTCAATACATCTGCAGCAAGAAGGAAAAGAGCACAAAGATCTGACTGTTCTGTATAATTCCTGAGTGCCACAATAGTCTAGTTATTACAACTGCAGACTCTCTCCTGTGGGGTGTCCATTTCATCTGCGACACTGCATGTGAGGCAGCCTTCGAAATATCTGCCATATCAGAGTGGGAGAGACATTGTAACTCGCCACCAAAAGATAGCCAATGCATATGTAGACTTTATGTCTGTCATGTACTGACTCTGTATGTGGACTGTAATTAGTCAAGTATAACTGTTCTCCTTCCTAAACTGGCCACAGTAACTAGGCAGGCATGCTGAAACAAAGGCCCAGTCAGAACGATAATCTCTGTGGTTCCTGCCCAAGATTTTCCAGTTATAAAAAAACAAACAAACTTGATTAACTTGTTTGGGTGACTCTCATCTACACTGCTCTAGCCTTTGTGGATGCTTTTCAGTGTGGCACTTTAAGTTATATTCAGGTCCAACTCACAAATCCATGGATTAGAGAAAGTAGAGTAGCAGCATATAGCTTCAAACCTGCATTTAGATGCACTACTGGTGTAATTACATAATTATTTAAAATGTCTAAAATGTGGAAATGAGTTGAACAATATTCAATATCAACTATATACAGTAACCCCATAATCTTCTTGTTCTTTCTTGCACATTTCACTAAACAATAATTAAGCATAGAGATTGTACAAGCTGACATACTCTGGTGGTCTTGTGTCTGCACCCAGGTCCCTACTTAAAGAGATGCGATCGCTGGCATACAAGTTAAAACAGTGTTTCTCTTCACCCCTCTCCTTCTCCTTCTGCTCTTCAGGGCTCAGTGAGTCTGTAAGGAAAGGTTTCCCAGAGGCTCCGGGAGCTAGAGGGTTCTGAGGCGGCCGCTCCAGAGCTGGCCTGAGCTCACCAGCAGTGTAATGACCCGGCAGACACACTGTGCTGTTTGTATTGGCCTGCTGGCGTACGGGGGCTTTGATCTGCATTTTTGGCATCACATCCCTTAAGTTATGGACAGCTCCCATCACCATGCCCAGCATGGCATCCCGCTTCACTGCCATGTCTTTCAGCCATGGATCCTCCTGTTGGTTTTGGCTGCCAACTTCCCATTGTAGGAGGAACACAAATGTGACAAAGATAAGGGCCACTATCAAGAGTTTAAGTGGGTGCAACCTTCTTCTGAGCACTCTGCGGAGAGTTGTCATTCTTCTTAGATGGAGAGCAGGCTGCATGGCCTTGGACAGAGACTCAGCTGTATTAAATGGATAACATTAAGGAGGATTATCAACCAGCGATGTTTTATCATCAAAAGAAATAACGCTACAGGGGAATTATACCAAGTTACCAGATTAATAACATTTAGGTTTTTGCAATTAAAAATCATAGCAGTTCCTAGTGAAGCTAAGAGTAATTTGCACATAATTACATATTTAAAATCTGCTCATGAAATCAACAAACACTGCTCGGGATTCCTTCATACCACGTACCACGAGTCGCTGAACTTTAGTTTCAGGTTGGAAAAGTCTATAAAATTGTTCGTAGAGAATCCAACGAATGGCATCCTGGTTTTTACAGGAGAGCCTCTATTTGTTGCTGAAAATTTCGTAGAGAGCAAAAAGATTCCATTAGTTTTCCTTCCTCACAAAACTTCCGTCTCGTTGGATCCAGGTGCGCTTCAGGTAGAGGGCGGAGACGTGCTGGCGCGCTTGCGCAAAGAGGACTGCGTAGCAAGCGCCATACCTGGAACACAAAGCATTATAAAAGAAGACATACACCAGGAATTTTGTCAACGTCACTGTTTGCCTTACGCATCGCTTTACTTGTGTCCTGTAACCCAGTAACCCTTTAAAAATAGTCTATAATGTGCCCAAATCACTGCTAAACCAAACTTTTATCCAGACAAACCTACTGACAGTCTACACTGAAGTGGCCACTTTGTCTTGAGATGGTTCTTCGGAGTGTTTCTCATTCAATAACGGTGTCATTAATAGGATTTGTTCAACTGGTCATTCACTGGGACAGTTGCTGGGTTACAAATAACGGAGGAACGCTATACCACACACACAGCCCACCGCATCCAATCAGGCTCTCTGAGAAAACATCACGTCTTACACACACACACACACACTTAAACTTATCAACGTGAACACTTGGACAAACTACAAACATATATGGCCCAGCGCGTATTTGGAAAAGTTAACCGTCTTTTCGCATGGAAGCGCAAAAGCCTAGGCTACATTATTGGTCACATCTGAGCTTTCGTCTATAATAAAAGTTGTAAGTTGAAAAGCTAACACTTACCAGCGGACTCTGTCATTTAACTAATCCTTTAATTTAGGCTTCCCAGAGCGAATGGTCTTTATGAAGAACTGGACGCTTGAAGGAGGGACGAGGCGGATTCCAGGCGCAGACAGCCTGCTGTGTGCCCAGTTTGAAGTCTCTCTGCCTTTGACTTGCATAGTGACTCCATCTGTAGTGACTGTTCCCCGGAACTTCCTATTCACGGCAGGCATCCACTTTATTATGTCTAATAACATGTTCACTGGCCTACATTTTTTTCAAAGTCACGTTGTCTGCGTGGACTAGATTCTGTATTAATCGCACCAATTAAGACAAAACGCCAGTATCCTATCTAAATAACTTTATTTTAAATACAAGATGAAAGGTAAAAATAAAATACACAACCACCTACATCCTAATCCCGGACTGATAATGAAACAATTGGCCCCTGGGCACTGATGCAAAAGGCCCCTATAACTCTGACACTTGTAGGAGCAGCCTCACAGATCCACACCTACAATAATAATAATAAACTTCATTTATGTAGGTATTTTCTAAACACAGTTAACTTTTACTGTTTGCATGTCTTTGTGGTCGTTTCACACCTTTTAACTTATTTTGTGTATTTTATGCATCTTTTTGTTTTTGCTTCTTTTTGGAATTGTGTTGTCATTTTGTTGTGTTTGCAGTCTTTTTCTCTTTCCAAGTCATTTCTTTTTCTAATGCTGTAACTTTTTGATGTAGTTTTACATCTATTTTGTCTTGTTTTGTGGCTTATTGTAGTCTTTTGGAGTGAAGTGATTGGCTTTCCTTCACAGTTCTCTGTTCTAGGGGACCCTGTGACCCTTTGGGCCCCTGTGCCCAGTCAGTAATCCATCCATGATCCTAATATTTACCACAAGACTAAACATTTCAACATTAATTTTCATATAAATGAAAGAAAAAAAAAAAAGAATGTTATCCAGCAAAATAAAAATGAGAGCTCTAACAGAGGGAGTGGAGCCCATTTCAAATCTGATAAATCTTAAATGTGCTTTAATCTAAACAGTACCCTTCTGCACAATCCCACTGTTTTTATTCTTCAAAATCAGTGGACATTTTTATATGTTTGTTGTCTGTAGGGAAGGAAAGGAAAAAGGTTTTCAGGCCTGCATGCGCCTGAACCTCTCAGCACTGTTTTCGCCCTTGGGATTGCCAGCACTCAACTGTTCATATAATCCAAAAATATACATAACGACTGTAAGTGTTTAAATGGCTTTCCCAAAGAAATAACAGAAACAACCAGATATTCTTGAAACTTGACAGTAAAGGCCAAACAGTAAACCCATATTCCATAAGGTCAACCTTTATTACAGAAACCTTGGTTACATCTCTTACATATGCAGCCTCCCTCTCTCTCTCACACACGTGCGTGCGTACACGCAGGTCCAACATTAAGATCTCAGGGCAGCACGAGCTTTGTCCAGGATATCCTTTCTCATTCTTGGATAATCTGGATGAGCAGCCAGAACCTGTGGACAAAAGTAAGAATGAATTACAGGATGCAAAGAATTTGAAGCTCTTAAACTGCGATCATCCACAGGTGTCTCACCTTATGACACACATCTATGGCATCAACATGCCTCTTTGCTTTTAAGTAGTTGAAAGCAAGCTTGTATCCTAAAATAAGAATAGGCACTGGTCATTAAAAATATAATCATCTTAAATTTTTCTGTCCTTATAAATACAACTGGACATGTGATTTTGGCTGACGTACCAATAGTGGGGTTAGTCCGATTTCCATATTTCCAAGCCAGTTCATAGTTAAGTGCTGCGTCACGGAATGCCTGCACTTTTTCCATTATATAGCCCAGATATTCATACGCTTTACAGCATGACTGTGGAAAGAAGTGCTATTATTATTAAAAAGTAATGCAAATAAAAGACACCCTCTAAAATTAAATAATAGAAAAATGATTTTATATTAATGAAATTGCCTTTAAACCACATCATATTGAAGCAGTGACAGTATTTTCAATGCTGACCTTGTTATGATTGAGGCACCTCTTCAAGAGGTCCCCAGCCATGTCATACTTCCCCGAATGGATGTAGATGTCTGCCAGGAGCAGCCAGCTCTTCTCAAACTCATCGGCGTCATCAAGGCTCCAGTTCATCTTAGCTATGCGCTTGAGCTGGTTCCTGGCTCGGGGAGTTTGTTTTAGCATCATATAAGCTGTTGCCATGGCCAACAGTGCTGGGATGTGGTCCTTCTGAATTTAACCAAAGAATTCTGGTTGGACAGGATGAATCTGACAACACCTCTTCCAACTCTCCCACTCTCATTTGTTTACACCAAAATCATACTGACATTGCTTCAGGACATAAAGGTAAATACAAAAATGTAATGTCCTCTTTAACAAAATTCACACAACTAAGCTACAACAATAAAAACTGTAAACATTAAATTAGCAGGATATGGTATAATGTTTTAGTTTGTAACCAAACAGAATGACCTTAAGACAGAAGCATAAAATAACTCACAGCTCCTGCCGTTTATTTATGGTAATGTAACTAAAGCACATCATCTGGACTTTGCTTACCTCATTGTTTGCAATCTCAGTGAAAACACTCAGGGCTTTCTCTACATTGACCTTCTGTTTAGTCGCCAGAAAACAGTAGTTCTCTAGGATGCGGAGCTGGATGTGTCCGCCTGGTGTCTGAGGCTTTATCTCCTTCAGCAGCTTCTCCGCTGTTCGCACAGCAAGCTGTTCTGACTCCTGCTTCTCTGTGGAGTTCCTGAGCAGAGACAAAAGTGACTAACATCAGTACTTTAAGTCTGTGAGTTCAAAATACAAAACAGTTTATATACTGTATAAAGTCTAACTCACCCAATTTCACCATCTAAATTCTCAAAAACCTCCCCTCCCATGGTGTCATTGTCAGGGTTTAGGTAGATTTCTATCATGTTGTACACAGCATTTTGACCCCAATCGTTGTCTTTCCGTGCTTTGTTGAAGTGTCGCAGAGCATCGTTAGGCTCTCCTGTATACCTGAACACAGACAGAGAACACAGGTTTCTTCACATAATGTGCTAAACCTGGAACAGATGTTGCCATAATCTTGAGGAAAAACGTTTCCAAGCTTGCCAAAGATATAGTCCTTTGCAGTAGTTAAACCCAGGGTCAAACTTTGCTCTGGAAGAATGTTTTTCTGCCATATCAAGAAATCTGTTGACTTCTTCCAACTTCCCGGCCCTCCTCAATAAGTCAATGAGACGTGACAGAGTTGGGTAGTTGTCTGAAAAACAGGTCTAAGTTATTATGCCTTCCATTTAGAGAAGGTCAAATCATCAGTTCATATGTACTGTAAATTCAACACAAATATTTGTACCTGGTTTGCGCTCCAGGAGTTGTTGAAAGTGGAAAACTGCCTGTTCATAGTCCTGCTTCCTGAACATAATGTCAGCCATCATCTAAAGACAAACACATGTACAAAAATAGTACTATATGTTGGTTCCAAAAAAGGCTATGCTGACAATTGTGGTAGCAGACAGACAGAACAAACCAGAGTTGCATCTTCATTAAACTTGTCGTCCTTCAAAATGATGCTGCATTGCTCCTGGCACGCGTCAACCTCATTGAGAGTCAGGTACAGCTGTGCCAACTCCAGCATCACCTAGGAACAGGGGATGCATTCATTTAAATGAAGACGATGTGACAAGATTATTTGTGGAATAATGTGAGACTGATACATCAGGCCATTAGCTTAAATCAAAATATCCACAACAAAAAATTTTTAAACACAGAGATGCAACACTAAAGAGATGCCAGTGCTTGTTAAGCACAGCTGCAGTGAGTACACAGAACGTTTTTGATTCAGTTGCACTGACCTTGCAATCTGTCTCACAATATACAAGAGCTTCTTTGTAGAATTTGACTGCTCTCTCATAGACCCTCTGACTCGTGTAGTGTTTAGCGATCTCAGCGCAGATCTCGGCTGCAAGCTGCTTCTGCACGGGGATGGCGTCGGGCTGCTCCAACTGCACCCGCTTCAGCACCTTGGCCTGCACATCCCGGGCCTATGAACATCAAAATCACAGCCTTATCATGGAAATAATCACAGTTATAATCATTATCATCTCTGCAGAAACAAGCAAAAGAATACTGAAATTGAAAAGAGTTTAAAGACTTTTATTTCACTTTGTCTTTTTAGGTAGGCCAGTAAGTAACTCTAAGGGGTACCCGTGCAAAACATCTGATTCAACAAAGCTGACAGTGTCTCAAACTGCAAGATAACTGGGCCTGCTTACCCTCTGTAAGGAAAGTAAAGCCTCCTCATTTTTGCCTACTTTGCTCTGAATCTTGGCCAACAGGACTAGATAACGGCAGTCCTCTGAGAGCACCGGCAGTTCATTCACTGAGTAGGTTTGAAGGAAAAAGTGATGTTAGAAACGCACAACAAAACAATAAACAATTAAAACCAATCAGTACATACTTTTTCTAAAACATACTAGAGGTGTTTTGATTTAGTTTACAAATCCAAAGCAGCTTGCCAGAAACAATATTAGCCAATATGTCCTTTCAATCAAGCTGTTTATACATGTGATGTCAGGAATTGACTGAGATGTCAAAAGTACCTGGTTCATGGGCCAGTGCTTGATGCAGGACTCCCTCGCAGCGCTCATACTGCTTCATCTTCATCAGCAGCTCGGCCAGGTCGTAGCGCAGGAAGTTCTGTTCCTCGGTTTTCAAAGCAGCTTCATAGTAATTGATTGCCTGTGTAACAACAGCCTTGTGTCAACTGGTTTGACTGTGTATGGGAAGTTTGTTTATCTTTAAATGAGTGTACAAAACAAACCTTGAGGTAGTTGTGAGTTTTGACCAGGGCTTTTCCAATCTTGCTGGCTAAAGCACCATCTTTGGGGTTTTTCTTCAGGGCATGCTCGTAAACCTCAATGGCTTTCTCTGGCTGAGAATAAACACGTGACGATAAGTGACGTCACAATTTGTTAGTGGTTTCAGGGTTTTGTAAATATTATTCAGACAGTCTGATTATTATTTACAAGATGTGAACATGTGGTAAACACCTTAAGGACTGATGACTGCTTCAAATTCAGAGATGCTGGGAAAGATGGGACAAAGATAGTCATGTCGGAAAATCCTATTTTGGTCTTATTGCCTTTATATCATTTATTTATTTGATCATTGTGCAGTATTTGC